AGATTAATGCATCATTTAAAATAATAATTAATTTAAATTTATAATAAGACACAAAATTGAAAATAGAGACTATTAAAAACTTCTAAAAATTTAGTGATTTATTATATATAAACCCATTTACTGATAAATTTAACATTTCACTCCCTTTTCTGTTTGTACCAAGAAGAACAGTTGGTCGATGTTTTTAGGAGTAAAATAAGAACATAAATACTAGTGATGGTTTTTTTATTGATTTAAAAGGTGCGAGATATTTGTTTATTAATTAAAATATATTTTACAAAATCTTCAATTTACACTCTTTTTTTTTTCTTTTCAGGAATATTAACCGATATCAATATTTTCCATAAAAGGGAAAGTTTCGATACTTCTATTAATATGGATATTTGAAATCTTTAAATTGTAAAAGGAAAAGAAAAAGAGTGACGCTGGAGAAATTAGTGGGCTGGGCCACGGCCCACGGGTTTGTAAAGAGTGTAGAGTGGGACCCACCAGCTCCAAACAGACAAATTCTAGACTCTCTCTTTTTCTCTTTCCTACTTTTTCTTTTTCTTTTTCCTTTTCTTTTTTAAATAAATTTATTAAGATTGTGGGTCCCATTGCTCGTGTACGCTTTTCCAGCCTCGGGTTTCGGGCTGCCGAAAAAAATCCCGATTTCTGTAAGGAAAATAACATACACAAAAATCTTCGTCTTTTTTCTCCTAAATAATACGAAAAGAAATAAAATTTTAGAACACACGAAATTATGGTCAGAAATAGATACAATTAGATTCAAGTTGGCATCAAATTTTACCATTCAATTTTGTAATTTATATCAATTTCTAATCTAAATTTTTTATTTTTCAAATTAGACAATAAAATTATATATGTGTTACCATTTTTACCTCATATTAATTTTCACTAATCACCAATAAATTCTAAAAAAAATGTAAAAACTCTAAGGACGCATTAAATTAATGTAAATCGAGTTTGACATAAAATTAAATAATTAATAGCTAAATTTGGCCATTAAATAACCCCTCAACTTACAAATTTCAATGTAATAAAAATTCTCTTTTTATCCGATCAGATGTGTATAAGAGACAGTCCTTCAACTTCAAGGTAGAAATAAACTGACCCCATTTTAGGAAAACAATCCTGTGAAGATCATAATGGTCAAAATCCAACCCCACCCCCCAAAAAAAAAAAAGAGAAAATTTAAAAACAAACCCACCCCCATCAACCTCAGCTTGATCCCTTGTGATGTGGGCAAAACCTCTGAGCCTCTCCCCACAGGGACCAGAACCAGAACAAGAATCCTTCAACTTCAAAATCAAACACCCATTTCTAGACGCTTTCTCCCTCTGACACTCAAAAGCACCACCGCCATTTTTGTTTCTCTAACAAACCCTTTCACTTTTACTTGTATGTTATATGTTTACTGCTACTGTTGCTTCAACAAGTTCAGTTTTCGGTTCACAATCACAACCCAACTAACTAATTCATTCATTTCAAGTTAAAACCAAAACACGTTACAGCGAGAGAGATGATGAGGAGACAGATTACAGAATGAAATACCCTTTTTTTCCTTTTGTTTAACATTTGGGGATTCAGACGGCCGTCGATTTCCGGACAATGTAGCGGTAGGCGGCGACTTTTTTCCTCCGGGAGGCGGTGTTGTCGACGGAGAGGACCATCTTTCCGGCTTCCCTTGTGGTGAATGAGTGGTGGATTGCTTCTTCGTTGGCTGATACTTTCCTCGGCTTCTCCACGGCGATCGTGTAGCTGCCGTCGGCGATTGGGACGAACTCCGCGCTGTATTCCAAGTCCCACCCTCCCACCACGATGTCCCACGTGATTGTGGCGCCCCCCTGTTTTTTGGAAATTTGGGTGTTAGGGTAATTTGATGAGATTTTGAGATGAAATGAGGAAGAAATTTGACCTCGATGCCTTCTATTTGAATGTTCACTTTCTCCCCTCCTTTGACGGCGAACTCCGACGCCGGTTTTGGGGGCCCGTTCTGTAAATCGCTCGGCCGATTCAGGCCGCCGTATTGCACCGGGACGTCTTCCGGTCTGATGAATCTGATCCAGAAGAAACCCAAATTAGAGAAACAGAAACAGAGCAAAAAATGGCGAGAGATTTGGAGTAATCGATCGACTGACTTGTAAAGGGTCTCGGCGACGTTTCCTTCTTTAGCGATGACGAATTTGCCCTTGGTCCGTTGAGTCAGAAAGGGGCTGAACATCGAGTACAACATGCTGAAGTACCACGGGACATTGATGAAAATCTAAGCCCCACCCAGAAAGAAAAAATTGGGAAAAATGGCTTCAGATTTGGAAATCATGACTCAAAATCAAGAACAGGTAAATGGGTCAGAGAGTGAAGTACCTTACGGGCGACCATTTCAGGGTAATTGTCTTGAAATAGGGAGAGGATTTGATTTGAAGCAACTCTGAGCTCGCGTTTGGGCATGTCTTTGAGATCGGTGACTTGAATCAGAGAGTTGACGCCGCCGGGCTTGAAATGGAGGAGACTAATGCCTCGTTCCAGAACCTGGACTCGCCATTTGAGGAATTTCTTGAGCTTCTCTTCATCGCCGAAGATCCTCTCGTACATTTCGCGGTCTTTGAAAACCCCATAGGCGTTGTAGCAAACCGGGTGGCCGTCTCTGTCGCAGCCCTG